CAGTTATCTTCAATGATTTAACATCAAAACATTGAGTTACGACATGTTGGCAGTGTTTGCTTTTCATTACAGGACTTCACTTTGGGATTGGGAACTATATGCCAATTTCCTTTCAGTCTTGACATTTTGCTATTAGTTACTGTTTAACAAGAGCCGTATCAGCTGTGTGGCACCTCCAGGGAAGGGGTGGGTATTTGTGTTCCTGGCAAGTAGGAGGGAAACTCTTTAGCGTGTTTCTGATCTTTCCTTTTGTTAATTCATTGTTCAACTAGGAAGAAAAATGTAGGCTTCTCTGCTTCATTTCGGTGATGGTGTATCCAAAGGAGACCATCCACGTAAGCTGAGCTAGCTCCTTTTTGTTTTACGGTCACATTTGCCAAATTAAAATCTGGGTTATCTCCCCTCATGGGGAAAAGAAAAGGAAATTATATTTTCAGGGCTGTCTGAATGTATCCATAAAAAGAAGGAGCAATTTTTTTCTGCTCCTGAGGAACACAAAAAGTACCTCTTTTCCAGCTGCCACTATGAAAAAAAAAATAAGACTGAGATTTACAGAATTACTTCATTTGATTATTCAATATGTTTTCTATAAAATGCTAAATTTGATTTAAAAATAATACAAATGCAATAGCAGGTCCATTGGGCAAAGGTTTGGCTTGAACTTAAAGTGAATGATAAAATAGGAACAACAGATGAGGAAACAAGATNACAAAATGCTGTTTCAGGTGTTTTGCTCTCTTTGTTTTGTGTTGAGAAAAAGCTTTGGCACTTCATAGTACAATAGCACAACTGAAACAATGCCTTAATCCCAGATTACTGTAGACTTAAGGAATTTATACTGTGGAGTTGTATAGTTTGGGGAGATATAGTTCCTAGATACCTGTCCTTGAATGTGCATAGTCTAAATCATGTTATAGTTGTTTTTATTGTCTTTAAAATGCAGTTGATGTTTTCAGCCAAGCTGCAGTGGAGATGTGCAACAGGGTGGGGGAAGGGCTGTGATAGGGTAGAATGGGTCTATCAAAATAGGAGTCACCGACAAAGTAATATTTGAGCAGACTTTAAGAAAGTGAGGGAAGGGCCGGCTCAGTGGCTCAGTTGGTTAAGAGCTCGCTCAAGAGTTTGAGCTCTGAGCAACAGAGTCCCCGGTTTGATTCACGGCCGGAGCTGAGCTGCCGCTGAGCTGCCAACAGGTGGCAGGATGGCTCAGCTAAAAGAAAAAGAAAAAAAAGAAAGTGAGGGAAGATATCTGGGGGAAGGGATTTAAGGCAGAAGAAACAGCCAGTGCTACGAAAGCTCTAAGTGAGGAGAATGCCTGGCCTGCTTAAGAAATAGCAAGGCCAGTGTGTCAGACTGTGTGGTGGGGCAAGTAATAGAAGACAGGTCATGAAAAGGGCCTCATGGGTCATTTTGAATTTTACTCTGATTTAAATGGAGAATGATGGGAGAGTTTTGAGCAGAGGAATACCATGCTATGACTTAGTTTTAAAAAGCATCCCACTGTTACCTGAGTTTGGGCTAGGCTCTGGTTGGCAGTGGTCGTGGAGTGTTGATTCAGGGAGACCAATGGGGTTGAGAGACTCTAGCAGTAATCCAGGTGAGGGATTATGGTCATTCAGACCAGGTGCTAGTCATGGATGGGTCAAGAAATGACAGATTCTGAAGGTGAAGTATGAGAGAATGTGGAGTGTGGCAGTCTGGGTGGGGCTCTGCATAGAGGTGTAGGTTTGGGAGATATAAAATTTTCACTCAGTTTGGTTAATCGTTTATTGGGCATTAACCCAGACATTTTAGGTACAAATATTAAGAATATAGAGTGCCTCCCTCGGGGGGGGTCTCAATTAATAGGGAAACAAATATATCAATAAAAACTGAAATATTTAATAAAAGTGGGTATAAAGACCTAGGGGGATGCAGATGAAGGATGATTAATGAATTCTACCTGTGGGAAGTACCAGGCAGGGCTTTAGAGGGGAGCTAACCGACTGAACTGGAACTTGAAGATCAAGAACTTCCCTGCATGGTCAAAGTAGGATATTACAGGCAGAGGGGAAGGCGTGAGTATGTGCAATTTCAGGTTTCATGAGGTAAATGTGCTCTGCTATGCCTTCACTTGTAACAAATTAGTAAATCAATACCTGACCCATTTTTCCCAATAATGTGGAAAATACAAAGCAGCATTTACTACTGTGGACCTATACATAGTCGTATATGAGATTCATGGGGCTTAAAAATAAAGACTGCCCCGCATGTAAGTTACAAGTTTATTCTGGTTCCATACTATTTTATATTAACCTGTGCGTTTTCTCCTGTGCTTTCTGTGCATGATGACCTTTCTACCAAAGATGGAGCAATAGCTAGAGCAGTCTACTTTCCTGTCTCACACAATGGAGGCCGAACCCAGAGAAAAGAAGAAGGCCATCCTTCTGTTTTAAGCATGGCCCTGAAATCATCTCAGGGAGTAAACAATAGAGCTTAGAAAGTATTTCGTGAATCCATCTGGCACCACCATCTGGGCTCCAGGGGTGGGGGTGGGGTAGGGGAACAGCAAAAGATAAGAAGGCATAGAGGGGACATAGAGAGTGTGGTGGTGCCAGAGTATGAAAAGCCAACTTGGAAGGTCATCGCAGACAGGAGTAGAGTCAGCATTTGAAGACTGCCTGGTCTCCACTCCTGCCAGTATTGCCCTTTCACCGGCTTGGCATGTATTGACCACCCATCATGAGTTCTGCCTGCCTGTGCCCTAATCTTTTTTTATGTGGGCCACTCCCCTTTTAAAAACTCCAAACACTGGTAAGTACTCCTACTGCTCTCGCAAAAATGTGTACAGTTAAGGGATAGGGAGAGGGGTCTCAGGGAAAGCTTTATACTCAGGTGAGATTGAACAGGATCAGTTCAAAATCAACACCCACCCACCTCCTGCCTCAGGATGAGACAGGGATGATAAACACCCCTTCCAGAATCTTTCCTCCTCCTTTCATTCTGCATGTGTTTGCCTGGAGCAGTTGGGTTCTTGGGCCATAGCACAGCCTTAGATAGGACTCTGAGGAACAGAATTTTCCACTAATTGGGTTCCTTTACAAACAGCGGTGTTTTATGTGACGTCTGCCACCCCAAAGTCTTTGGTCTTGTGTTCCTTCCCAAGTCTTGACCCCCTTGTACTTCTCTTTATATCCCAGGGACCTTTTATTCTAGTGCTAAGCAGCTTGGTTTTTCTTTCCATTGCTGATTAAACATTTCTCTCTGGGTATAAACTTGGCTTTGTGTCTGGGAGTCCTGTAGAAAAAAAATGTCATTTAGTAAGCCGAAGCTGTTAGAAGTTGTTAGATAAATGACGTTACAACTGGCAGTCAGTAATAAAGTAAATAGTAAAAAGATAGCATGGCTAGCTGCTCCTTCAGATCTCAGACAACCTGGAGCTGGACTTTTGTACTTTCTGCTTGTGGTGACTGTGAGTTTGATGCTTTACAAAATGACATGCTCGTGCACAGCAAAATTAACTTTCTGAAGCACTTCGACAACTTCTTGGCTCACTTTATTTTCCCTACAGTGGAATGAGGTGGGCAGGCCCATGTTTGCCTGATGAACTATGTCCAGCGCAGGACAGTTAAAATGTATTCCCTAGGTCACACACAAGGACGATCCTCAGGCTGGGGCCTGTTTCGGGACTCCCTGCAGCCTTGTGTTCAAGCGTCTGGCCATCCCTCTCTTCTATAATGCCTTGTGTCCCTGGTAAATTACTTCATCTCTCTGTCTCCGTTTTCTAACCACTAAAACAAGGTCCTTCCTACTTTTAACTATCTTTTCTTTTCAAGGCGCCCCAGTGAGCAGGAGTTTGGAAATTGGTTGCAGGTGGACGGAGGCAATGTTTGGTTGACTAATCACGCTTTCCAAGCTATGTTGCTGGTTTTTCTACCCATTCCTGCGGTAACTAACTTTTCTGTAAGCGTTCTTTTGAATTTGTTGACTGCATTTAGGCTCTTTTAGGTCCTGCCTTCTTTTTGGGAACAGGGGTGGGCGGAGAGGAAGGAAGTGTCCTGCAACTACCAATATTTTCCTCTAGGAGGAGCTGCCCAGCTCAGAGGAGAGTGACACGCACCAACTCCAACTCCTCGCCGGGAAACGCTTCATCCCAGCTCCTCGGAATGCGTGGCCCGGACGGCACTCGGCGCCTCCGCAGCGGGTCTCGAACCGGCCGCCCTGAACTCCCGCTTCCTCTCTCTTCGGCAGCCCTGGTCCCGGGGGCGGCGGGCCAGGCCCGGCGTGACCTCTGGTGAACCGCGGCCGCCGTTTCCCACCCCTCCCGTCCCATCCTCCCTTCCCGTTTCACCCCGCCCCCTCCTCCTCCCCAAGCCTGACAGCCCTGGAGCTGCCAAGCTGGGCGCAGCCATGGGAAGAGGAGGCGGTCTAGGCAGCGGCGGCGGCTGCAGCGGCGGTGGCGGCGGCGGCGGCGGCGGCGGCTGCTGCTGAGCCCGGGCGGCGGCGGGGATCCCGGTCTGCGGCCACGCGGGCCGAAGGCTCCCGCGCCCTCGGCCCAATGCGCCCGCGAACCCGCGCTCTCAACCCGGAGGATCGGCTCGAAGGTACTGGAGGCGGGGGTTCCGGGAGTCGGGGTACTCCCAGGGCGCCTGGGAGTGGACCCTGGGACGCCAGTTGTTTATGAAAATGGGACCTGTCTTGTGTATTTACACAGATAATTATTTCCCCGGGTGACTCGGGGGTTGTCTGGGCTCCCCTCCTCCTCGCGAAGTTGTTTTCTGCTGGTGGGTTGTTGTAACCCGATCCACGCTGTGGGTGTGTGTGTGTGTGTGTGTGTGTGTGTGTGTGTGTGTGTGTGTGTGTGTGTGTAAGTTGATGGGGGACGGCCAGGAATTGGGGGCGACGGGAGAACCAGCTTACGCTGCAGCTTCCTCCCACTCGTGTTTGCGGTGCCTGGAGGGGCTTCCTCCGAAGGTAGTTTTGTAGTAAAAGTTTTGCGAGTGTTTCTGTTTGACATCATCAGTCGGGCTGGAGCAGAAACACTGAAGCTGCCGCTGCTGAGCGGGGAGAGGTCGGTCCCAGGCTGCCGGGCCGGAGGAGAGGGAGGTGGTCCGGCTGTGCGCGTCTACACCGCGCGCCCCTCCCGAATCGCACCGCCCTTTGTGGCTGGAGCCTTGTCTTGGCACTTGCGGAGCTGGGGTCACTAGAGTCACGGCCACAGGTCCCCATGAGCTGGGGTGGGTGGAAATCCTGGCGAGCCGAGTTCCCCCAGCCCTGGACATACTCGTGGTTATGAAATCAACCAGGCTCAAAGTTTTGACAGAACTGCTGGAGGCACGAGGGCTGCGGTGAGTGGGGTAGCGACGTGTGTGGGGAGATGGTGCTCGCGGCGCGAGGAGGAGGACGGGCAGGGTCACCCACTTGCGGGTGCGTGGGGAAGTCTGTTTGGGGGCGAGTGCTTTATATATAACCCAGGGTGGGGGTGNTCCAATCAGTTAAGCACTGCCAATAGGCTTTTATCACTTTCAGGCCTAACATCCCCATGATATTAACGAGCCTGGCTTGGTGACCACCCTCGTTACTATCAATATTGGCCTGCAAAGGAGAATGACGACCATTATGTTGGGTGATACTGGCTGGCGTCCTTCCCACTAGTGGATTTTTAAGGGCCTTGGTGGATGGTGTGTCCTTTGGGCTCTCGTGGAACACAATCTCTGCTGGCTTTTCTAGCCTTAAATAATATATCCATTCTGGTATGCCCACGGTTCTGTAGCCTCTTCATCCCTTCCTCTGTTGTCTGCAGGGCAGTTCAGGCATTTCAACTCTGTTAGCCGCTGGCCATTGCTCCTTTTAGACCTCTAAGAATCACCTTCACAGTGAGTTTGCCGTATCCCCTGAGACCTTGCCGTGTTGACAAATTCTGTCTTGAGAAACTGATCGTAAATCAATAAATTCTTGCTTATCCAGTCTTACATTCTGACCCCTTGATCATGCACCCTAAAAATCCAATCCCAGAAGTACTCCAGTGACTCTTGACAATACAGCCTAGCTAATTCTTGAAGCTCCTTCTGTGTATAAAGTTTTCTCTCCCTTTTCAGATCCAGCACTTACCCAGCGAGGGGAAATTATTGCCCTAGCAGCCAGGAGAGGAGGTGGGGAGAATTTCTAGGGGTGGGCACCTGTTGCCTTGTGGGAGAGGGACCTCTGCAGTATTTTGCAGCACCAGACAAGTGCCGGCTCTTAGGGAATGTGGTACCTCTGTAAGCTGGGCAGGTTCAGAGGAATCTTCAGAGCCAGCATCCTCAGGGGCATTCACCCAGATGTCCACATCCAATATTTGAGGGCCCCAGGTTTTCCCATTAGGAGTCTATTGTGTAAAAGTTCTGTCTTGGCTGAGCATTCAAACATCTCTGGAACTCTATTACTACCAATTGTTTACTGCTCAACCATGTCAGAAACCCCATTGTAGTAAATATAGTCCTCTTTTTCAGCTACCAGTGAGGTTTTCTGGTCTTCACAGTTAACGTATAATTTCTTGTTAATGGATCTAAGTTTCTCATCACTCTTCAAGACATCAGTACAATTTATTGGGTTGTCGGAAAAGTCATGATGCATTTTTGCGACGAAAAACGTAGAAAAAATATGTCATGACTTTTCTGACAACCCAGTAGTAGTAACTATCCAGCTCCTCTGTCTTTTTAAGCACCTTCATCACCACCAACATCTTTTACATTTCTGAGTCATTGCACCTGTACAGGTATTTCCCTCCACTCTGAGGTTTTCCCAGGTCACCCTCAGGGAAATCTGTAGCAGTTGGACCACTATGAAGTGCCATGGCATCTTAACGCTTGTGTAGCCTGTGTTGTTGGACCACTCCTGGCATCACTTGTTAGTCAAGAATCCCCAAGAGGCAGATGCCAAGACGGGATTAGTCATACAACAGATTTACTGAGGGAATGGCCTGTGAGAGACAATGCATAAGTAGACCTAGGAGGCTGGGAGAGCCATCAGGCTGGGGTGTGGTTCTGGCCGCTGTGAAGAAGAAAAGGAAGGAAGGAAATATGAGACTCAGCTGCACTTCTAGGAGTGTTTCAGCAAGGCTCATAGAGAGTTCTTGAGTCCAAGTCACCTGAAGATAAGGCTTACATTTCTTAGGAATGGACCTGCCTTTGTATCTCTTCTGTGTTCAATCACTGGCTGAGAACAGCGTGTGGGAAAACTGATCTGAGTATGAAGGCACTGGTGGGTTCAGAGAGTACTGCTAGAGCCTTTTCTGGTCACCACAGATACATTGTTTTAAATGTTCAGTACTATAAACAATCCTGTAATTAATATCCTTATACGTGTCTTCTTTTATACATACAAGAATGTCACTAGGATTTATGTAAATAGTCAGAGGATTACTAGGTCACAAGTCATATGCCTTTCCTATTTTACTAAATTCTTTAACATCATCCTTTTACTTGGCTGTACTAATTTAAGCTCCCAGTAGCTTAATAAAAACTTCCTTGCTTTGTCACTACTTGATCTTATCCAATAAAACATATTTCACTGATCTGATGGGCAAATAGCAGAACCTCATTTTTGCTTTTTACTTTGTTTTTCTCTGAATACTAATAAAGTTGTATATCTTCTTAATGTGTTTTTTTTTATTATTATTGCTTCTTTGAATGTTTTCTTCTGTGAATTGTCTGTTCTTGTCTTTACCCCATTTTTCTTTTGGTAGTCTTTTTTCTTTTTAAAATGTGCTTTGATATACTCTAGATACTGACCTTTTATCTGTTGTACACATTAAAAATATTTTTTCCTTTGAGTCTAATGATCACCTTTTCACTTTGTTTGTAGGACTATTAATTATATCAAAGGATTAACTCTGATATAGTCAAATTTTACATTTTTCATTTTTGCTTTTGGATCATATTTTTAAAAACCCTTCTCTATCCAAAACAGATAAAGATTTGCAGCTATATTTTCTTCTAATGGCAGATTAAAATTTGCTTTTCATATTTAGTTCTTTATGTCCATGTGAAATTCATTTTTGTGTATGTGTATGTGTAAAAATATAAATTCATTCTTTAATGTGTTCAAGGTTANATGGGTGTACGTGTGCGCGTGTGTGCTCCTGGGGAGGCGTGTCGGCACCGGAGCCAGTAGGGTGTTCAGGGGTGGCGGAGGGGACCAGAGAGGTGCCGCCCGCCTGTTTGTGCCGCCTGGAGACCTTGGAAGGGACAGGGAAAGGCAACAGGAGGCCTGCGAGTTGGGAAGTCGCAGGAGTTCCTGCATAGGATTTAAGTGCCACGGACTTTAAAATTCTAAACCTATTTATTGCCTTTGAGGAGCAGAGGGCTGGAGGTGGAGGTTTCTGGAACTCTCAAGAGACCTGTGTGAGGGGGTGGAGGGTTCTGGGAGATGCGTGTATGTATGGGTACAGAATCCTGTAGACCCGGACCCAAGTCGGAGCTGCAGATCTGAGATTCCCGGGGTGCTGCTGTCCATAGTCCAGAGACTAGATGATTTTTGGAGTGTCTACTGTTAGACTCCCTGGCGTCTGTGCCTGGGAAGGCACTCACCTTTCCTGGCAGATGTTGTGGCAGCTCTGTGCCCTGAGCAACTGGTGTTCTAGGCTAGTTTCCACCTGGGTCACCCTGAAAGTCCTTTTCCTTGTCAAGGGAAAGACCTTGAAGATAACTAGTATTGAAACATTTCCAGAAATTAAAATGCTGGATAGAAACAAAATAAAATGATTTAGCAGACAGGGTTGTTGCATCCATCTTTTCTGTGATTTGGGGATTCTGTTTCCAAATTTTAAGAAAAGCAAAGCTCAGTTATCCCAGATTAAATACCAAGAGGTTTCCAGTTATTTATGGCTCCCCTTCAGATGGACTTTTGATGGAGCTGGAAAGATGTGTTTTAGCCCAGAGACCCTTGGAGGACATCATTTGTAGTGTAAGCATGTCCCATCCCTCATCTCCTTCTTCCATCCTTGTAAACTTTTTGCTTCACATTGGCCTAAGGAAAGTTGGTGAGTCAACATTCAGCTTTTCTTTCCGAGTAAATATATCACAGTGAAATTATAGCTTCGGTCTCCTGAATGCCATGGAAAGCCAACACTTAATGGGCAAAGGTGTGAAATGAAGGTCTATAAATGCAATGACAAAGTGACGACACACGTGTATTTTTTTCTTTTTCAAACCGAGCATAACTTGGCCTTGCAAATATTTGTTCTAGGCAGAGTTTGGGGCTGTGTTTTTTATTATTAATTTTTAAACAACAGACTCCTCATCATAAACCACTTAAACATGGATACTAGATGGCTTCTCTGGGCTCTCTCTGGCGCCTGTGTTAACAGATGTTTATGATGCTTGGTAACCTATGGGATTGTCGCGTTGAGTATCTTGTTAGGTCAGGACATGTTTATAGCTTAATGTAATCAATGGAACCCCACTTGCAGCTTGCTTCTGCCAAGTGCATGAAGCACCCCAGCATGGAAACATATCTTGAAGCTGGTCCAACTTGGCGAGCCTTTTTGGCTATCTACTGGTAAGCATGATGAATGTAAAGATGAATGTAAGTGATACAGTGTGAATATGGCACAGCAAATTGCGGAACTCAGAAAAAAAGGAGGCGTGGATTGTATTTTTTAAATCTGCTACCCTGAAGCTGAAGCTTCTCTGTCATTCTTCTGCTAAACTGCACAATTATGGAGACGTGGTTTGCTTTTAGAGAACAAAGTTTTTAAAATGTGTCAATAATAAAAATAACTTCTATTTCTTCGTGTGTTCACATGTGTCAGTACAAACCATCACTCTTTCTTCTTCAAAAAAGTATAATCTCTGTGGTAATGATTTAAATAATATGGGCGTCCCCATCACCTAATCACTTTCTGAATCTTGAATTGATAAGAATTGAAGTTTGGGAAGACAGGAGTCTGGCCCTCTGCTAGTTGTATAACAAGGCGAAACAGGATGTCTTTTTGGCAAGTGATTTGTTTTCAACCTGGTAACAGTATAACGTAAATAATGTGCCCCATACAATGGTTGACTGGGATGATAACCAACTTTAGAGTCAACTCTCAGGTGCGTGAACTTCCTCTTCGCTATCTCTCTCTGTAAATGGGCCAGCCCACCTTTTCTTGGCTATAATCAGACAAGAAGCTTGCTGCCCTGCTGCCCTGCTGGCCAGTCCATTCTAGGAGAGATTCATTTTTTAGAAAGTCCCATCTTGTACTGAATCAACATTTTCTTCTACCCATTGGCCTACTGTTCAGTTGCTGGAGCGATACACAGTGAATCTAATCTCTTATTCCTTTAAGTGCTGTCTTTGAAAGCAAACATTATGCTCCTTCTTC